TCATAATTTATTAGCCTACATATGACAAAGCCCTTGATAATTTAACTGTTGTGGCTATTAGTAAAACACGGAGCACGGAGCACACGGAGCACGGAGCACGGAGTACGGAGCACACGGAGCACGGAGCACACGGAGCACGGAGCACACGGAGCACGGAGCACACGAACTACGGAGCAGTAGAAAAACGAAAATTCTTTATAATAAAACACACTGTTTACTACAAATTTTTATTACAAATTTTTGTTCTTATTAATAAAGTTTTTTCGCGTTTTACACGTTGAGGAAGTAGAAAAATGGGGCTTTTACTGCACATATGATGCAAAACTGCCAAAAGCCATAGTATTTAAAATAGGATTGTGCCTGTGAAACTCGTCACATATATATCAAGCTTATGAGTTATGTAGTTATATCAGTATATTCCGATGGCCAACGCATTAAGAAACACTTAGAGAACAGCCGATATATTTCGTTACCCCTGCCAAAAAATAGCCAAGTACTCATCTTTCAATGTAGCGAATCGACTGAACATTATAAAAGCTTGTCATGGAGAGAAGTGAATTTTCGGTTTATCCTTCGTCCCAGTGACCAGTGAGCAGTGTGCTGTACGGCCTACGCCGGTTTAAACCGTTATACATAATTACTGCTTTCATTCTTTCAATCCGTTTTGAATATTCGGAATCATTCACTATTATATTATAAAACTGTACAAGATAGCTGTAGAACTATAAATGCTGTAGAATAAAATAAATAAAGAAAACTACGTTTTATCGCGGTATTGGCTGATAAATCGGTAACCGCTACAGAAAAACAGAACAAATTACAGTAAATCACAACAAACCGCGGAAGTGGGACAATTTTTGTATTTTTACTGTAAGACATGCAGAACATGTACGAAATCCATACAGAAGTGTGTGTGTATTCTATACTTTTGAAACAACTAAATCAGACTTCGGAAAATTTGACAGTATTAAAGCTACTTTTGAGAATTTAGATTTTAGGTCTTTGTTTTACATGTACCCAGTAAATATTTTTGAGTTTTGAACTTTGATTCTCACAAGCTTACAATTTGTTTACAATTTACTCTGCCTCCGTGCTGCACGGCAGAGTTGATCGGAATTGTAACAAATACGCGTACACTTAAATGGCTTCCTGAATTTAGTCAATCAGATGTGTAAAAATTACTCGTTTCAATTTTATGTTTATGCTCGAAACTGCTCATGTTTACAATAGCAATTCTAACAATCTTGCCCTCCTTTTCGCCTTTGAGGCGTTGGTGTTGATTTATACACAAAATTCAAAACTCAAAAATATTTACTGGTCTGGGTACATGTAAAACGAAGACCTAAAATCTAAATTCCCAAAAGCAGCTTTAATACGGTCAAATTTTCCGAAGTCTGATTTAGTTGTTTCAAAAGTATAGAATACACACACACTTCTGTATGGATTTCGTACATGTTCTACATGTCTTACAGTAAAAATACAAAAATTGTCCCACTTCCGCTGTTTGTTGTGATTTTAATACTGTAATTTGTTCTGTTTTTCTGTAGCGATTACCGATTTATCGGCAAATACCGCGATTTGAAAACTTACTTTTCTTTATTTATTTCATTCTACAGCATTTATAGTTCTACAGCTATCTTATACAGTTCTATAATATTGTGAATGATTCCGAATATTCAAAACGAATTGAAAGAATGAAAGCAGTAATGATGTACTGTTTAACGGTTTAAACTTAGCCGGCCGTACAGCTCACTGCCACCGGTCACTGAGCCGAAGGATAAACCGAAAATTCACTTTTCTCATCACAACATTTAATGTTCAGTCGATCCGCTACATTGAAAGATGAGTATACTTGGCTATTTTTTGGCAGGGGTAACGAAATATATCGGCTGTTCTCTACAGTAAGTGTTTCTTTATGTGTTGCCCATCGGAATATAATATAACTACATAAGCTTGATAGATGTAAGATAACGAGTTTCACAATCCCATTTTAAATACTATGGCTTTTGGCAGCCTGGTTTTGCATCATATGTGTTTTTCAGTAAAAGCCCCATTTTCCTACTTCCCCAACGTGTAATACGCGAAAAAAACTTTGTTAATAATAACAAAAAATTGTAATAGTAAACAGTGTATTTTATTATAAAGGATTTTCGTTTTTCTACTGCTCCGTACTTCGTGTGCTCCGTGCTCCGTGTGCTCCGTACTCCGTGCGCTCCGTGCTCCGTGTGCTCCGTGCTCCGTGCTCCGTGCTCCGTGCTCCGTGTTTTACTAATAGCCAACTGTTGTTGTACTGTACTTGCAAAATTAAAACTTATTAAAGCCCCGTTTACACTACGCTCAATTCTTGGTACGGCACGGATAAAATTGGTACCCGTACCACTTTTTTGGTTCTTGGACTACCTATTTAGGTAGTCCAAGAACCAAAAAGTGGTACGGTACCAAAAATTGAGCGTAGTGTAAACGGGGTTTGGCTAAATAGGTAGTCCAAGAACCAAAAAAGTGGTATGGGAACCAATTTTATCCGTACCGTACCAAAAATTGAGCGTAGTGTAAACGGGGCTTCAGTGTTCTCTTGAATTTGAAAAACACTCAAGACAATAAAAATCACTCGGCCGTTCCGGCCTCGTGTTTTCATTGTTTTTCGTGTTTTACAAATTCTCGAGAACAATAAAAATTGCTTGGTAAACAGCCTCGTGAATCCCATTGTTCTCGCGTGTTTGGAAACCCTCAATCGTGGACAAAACCTGTTAATAAAACTCGCAGATATGTACATTTTTGTTCAATCTTCGTTAATCCATGCGCATCATGCCACATAGTCCACCTCTCCCCCCGGAACAATGTTGCATTACCATTAATGTTAGTTTGAGGATGACGAATCCAACATTGAATGGGGGAAAGGGGGGGGGGGGAGTGGAATACAATTTGGTTAATGCAATTTCATTATGATATTAATTAGTTTTATTAACAGTTTTGTCCACGATTGCTGGTAAAACACTCGCACTCGTTTGTGAAATACTACTTATAGCTGTATGTCAGTTACGATATTGTTTTGCTACACCTTCTTTTATATATTCAGCTGCTGTTCACTTTAATACGGAGATATATAAAATGTTGCACCATTACTGGCATTAGAATGATTAATTAAAACGTTTTATAACTTTTATAGTTTTCCACTTTCATGTCCGAGGAGTTTGTATTTCGATGTCCACTTCATATTTCACAATTTAATGCATCGCGAAACTTGCTACGCTCTACAAGATTTGTGTATGATTGCGAACCTGTGACTATGTATTAAAAGTTAGGCTACATTTTACTGGTATTTTCGGCGAAAGAAATAGATGGTTTAATCGTCGCTTACATGGCCAAGAGTAAGATCAGTTATACACTGTTAGTCATGTATCCGTTCGAACCAGCATGCTTCTTTTTATTCGCCCAAGGCCAAGAATTACATTAATTCAATCTGTTTTTAGTGACATTTTTCGGTTTTCTCTTTTCATTCGCGAGATATGCGGCTCTAAGCAGCGATTTTGGTGAACTGAAATATCGCGTATCAACAAGAGTCTGGGACGAGCGTGGTTTAGCTTAAGGTAATTCCGCAGTAATTGTTCCCGAAATGAGAATGTGCTGAAACTTCCCAGGCATGGAGTTTATGATATACTTAAAGTAAAATCACACAAAAAAGTCGGGGTCACCGAACTCGTTAAGAAGATATGACAATCACAATATACCACCTTTACCCCAATATGACGCCATCTTGACGCTCATTACGAGTAACAGCAAAATCACAACAGCCCGATATTTATTGACGTTTTTAGTGCGGATTTTGCTTTAGTAAACCTATCTTGTAATTATTTTTGAAAAAATATTGTGTTTTGAGCAAAATGAAACTACTAACGTGTACAATTCTGATCCACAAATGTCTTTTCCACATTTCTTTACATATCTTTCTTTGAGAACATGCATTGATAAAGGATTTGTTTTCAAGATTCAGAAATGATTTTTCTTTTAATTTCGGATATGAAATGTAAAATGCATTAAAGAAATAAATTATCAGTTAAAAAACGGGGGTCACCGATCTTTTTAGGGAACTGTGGCATTAAAACGTGAAATACAAGTAAATAAATATACTACAGACACAGAACCCTAGCTACACTTCTGTATGCCTTTTATGTAAACATTGATTTTAACGTAATTCTTTGCACGAATGTAATCAAAGATGTTTTGAAGTAACATAAAATTGTCATAAAATGATTTTTTTTAAACGGTACGTATAATGGATGAAATTATAAGTTATAAGATGTGCGCAGTAAAAGTGCGCAATGCAAAACTGCGGAATTACCTTAAGGGACCTAATTACGACGCGCATTATACATTTGTTGCCCCCGCAGGGTTTAGGCCCAGAGGGCCAAAACCCGAGGAGGCATATACAGGGTTATATAAAAATAAACGCAATTCATCTTTTGTGCTTAATAACTTTCGAAATACTATTTCTAGTCTAACGCTTTTAGGCTTACTTCAAAGCCTGTTCTTTTCTCTTTCAAACAAATTATTATCCTTGTCTCCAATGCTAGTAATAATTGCACAGGAAAAAATTTAGTAAAACCTACCATTTTTAGTTGCTGCTTAATTATGCAAGTTTACTATGTTATTGTTTAGTCGGTTTAAATGTTAGAATTTTCTTCTTTAAACTTTAATGTTGTCGTCACTTGACTACATCTGGAAAACCACGTAAGAACAAATTAAAAGTATTTTAAAAGAGACCAGGTTGTTTGAAAATCCTGAACGAATGCTAAAAATCGTCAAAACATTCTGGTGTCTGAGCCAGAGTGTCATCGAACTGCGATGTAATGTAAACAGAAATTATAGCAAGTTGATGTCAGTCAGCTTAGATGGTCCAAGCCAAAATTATATCGCATTTGAAGTTTCAAACTGAGTTAAAAATAGTGGAAGAAAAGCCGTAAGTATACTTATTGTTACAATCCATTTAATAAAATGCAACATTTTTTGTTTTAATGAAAAAATCAGTTATTTTCATGAGAACGATTTGTTATTCCATCTCAATTTTTTTAATCTCCAATCGCAATAACGTAAAGTATTATCACCCGCGAACCAATAAGTCAAATTTAAGAAACAACCCACTGTTAGAAAGCTGAATGGCTACGCTTTAAAATGAATGTAAACTTTGACGTTTTCGTCTATTATTTGTTTAGCAATTTACATTTCAGTCGAGGATTGCGCTTTTTTGATACACCCGTATAGAAGTCCCCGCGTATATAGGTTGCATTGTTCAGTAGTGGGGGAAAATCTCGGTTTGCTCAGTCAAGACCGCAAAGGGGTATTGGAAAATTGCCGCAAATAGCATCGGGAATGAAAACCGCAAGTAGCATCGGGAGTGAAGGATTAAACGGAATTGTGGGATATATCACATTTATCAGGACGTACATAAAGGTAAGGAAATTAAATCATTTAACGTTAAACTCATAGAATGAACGAAGCCAGTTTGACAATAAAAGTAATGAACATGGTAGAAAATTGTCCAAAGGTTTTGTGACAGTACTAGATAAATACAGTATTGAAAATTCAAAATTTACATAAAGTTGTTATAAAGCACAAGGTTTAAAATATCACGAACATGTTCATCATGCAGTTCATGTTCATGTGTTGTTTTTTTTTAGACAGGATGCGCAGGGCAGGTCACACCAGCCACACGGGCAAGCGTGTCGACTTTCTCGAAATCCTCCCACTCAAGTCTTCGTGAATTTGTTTTAATTTCTCCGCCGATTTTTTCAATGTGACGTTCTAAAATATCCAAACAGCTTTTGGTGAAATTTCCAGTACAAGGATGCGGATTATTTTTCCTAATGCTATGCATGTCGGCCTTAAAAAGGTTTAATAAATAGTTAATCTCAGACGATGGATGTTTCTCGCACATTGCTGATTTCCTTCCAGCGGCTGCCTGCGACAAACAGAAAGTAATCGGTATGGCTTTTGCGTAAAAGTCGCCAGCGTTTAAAGGTCCGTGATAAGCTGTTTGTGGCTGTGTTAGTACATCTTTTACATGTTCAGGCTGAATTTTATGACCTGAAGGCAATCGATTATTGTACGTATTCAAATCGCCGCAAATCTGTATGTTCCAATTGTATCGATCCTTCTCGAAATACCAGGCGTAGCTTATGATAACGCAGACAGGGGAAATGTAACCAGTTCCTGTATGGTAGAATTTCTTGAACGCTTCTTCAAAGTTGTCAGTGTTGAATCTCTTGAGTATGTGCTCCCTGCAACGAGTGAAAGTGTCACGGTAGATGTACACCGGAAAATATGTCATAAAATCGGCCACCATCGGAAATCCTATAGCTTTTTCGGTGATTGCTGCCCAAGACTTCACCCACACGAGGTCCTTTGTGCAAGTAGAGCCCAGTATTCTAACTTTTCCGTTGGTCATGATGGTTGGCATTGTAACTGGCAACAGGAAAGGCGAGTCGGTATCTAGCCATGCTATGATGTCATCATTTGTGTAAAGATCAATAAAAAAACTGCTCCATAACTGTCGGTTATAGCCAGGAACTTTTCGTTGACCAGGGAAATCTAAAATAGTTCCATCTCTCGGTAATGGCTCATATCGCACATCAAAAATATAGCTGGAAAAGTGTTCACGGGTCTGATTGCTGAGTTGTGCTCCAAATCTATGATCCCCCTCTGACTCCTGGTCAAGCACAATTACCATTTTACCTAGCGACGGAGGCCAAAAGAGAACCACTGTCTTCAACATGTTACAATAAAATCGAACCTTGAGGTGTTCTCGTTTCGTTGACATCCTTATGAAAAGCGAAATAGATATAGGGTTTTGTTGTGCTCTCTGTATTGAAGAAGTGATGGTGTCATCATGACGAGCAGCGAAATTGTTCAACAAAACATTTCCATGAGCGTTAACGTTCTCTTGAAGAACTGGCAGAATTGTGGTATCATAGCTCAGAAATATGTTCCAACACACGAACACAAAAGTCACCAATAAGATCGAAAACAATGCTAATTTAGTGCAATGCCGACGCATACTTGAGGAGAATTGAGTTATTTGGGTCAGCTCGTTTCTAAAAAATATTGAATAAAATATGATACAATGCTGTGTGATAGCGGCACAGAATAAAGATATACAGATGGTCGACTCGCGTAACCGCTACTACGCCATGATTCATCATCAAAATGCTGACGCCATGGGCCTAGCCAGTGCGCTTATGAGGGGCATTACACCCGTGGACATCCACCGTTTTGAATATTTTCAGGGGGTAAAACGCGCACTGCTAGGCCCATGGCGTCAGCATTTTGATGACGAATTACGGTTACGCCAAAATCATTGGAAAATAATAGGAAAAACCAAGAAGTCGGGCTTCTGTATATTCAGTGATAGCGGGCAACTCTGTAGACTGTAGTTTGCGACATTAATGTTCTAAAAATCTATAGGAAGTGCGACGATAAATATAATACAGCAATCTTTAAATCACCGTTAGATGATTCCCAACTCCCCCCCCCCCCTCTCCCCCTACAGGTCGGCAATATGCATGGGCTTTTTTCACTGAAAACCTTTTATATCGGGCAAAATGAAAAAAAGTGGGGCAAATTTCTTTCAACACTTCTAATATTTCGTTCCCGTACGCATATACGAGCGAAAAGAAGCCACGGCTTAAAAAAGTCGCGAACAACTCGTATAAACAGTCAATTTGAAATAAGTCGCGGCTTATTTAGTCCTAGCTTTCATGCCAACCTCGCAAGCCAGGGCCTTCTACCTGGCTTTCATGCCTGGGCTTATTTTAGCCGTTTATAAAAAAACAAAACAAAAAAAAAAACAAAAAACAAATTGACTGTTTATACGAGTAGTTCGCGACTTATTTAAGCCGCGGCTTATTTAGGCCGCGGCTTATTTTCGCTCAGTATAAATGGCCCTATTACTACTGTCAAATAAATGAAATAAAACGTTTAATAGATTTTGGGAATTTCTTGGAACGTGCGGAACCTGATAAAAATAGTAGCCGAAACAATGGGCCAGGGTCAGCAAATGACAAGCGAAGCGTTTAATTACTTAGCCTATAAGTCCTACTACAAAGGTAGTGTAGTATTGTGGCGTAGACAATGTAGCTAGTGAAGATAACATTAACTGCAAGATTACAAGAAACGTTTCAACATTTAAATGAATTCCGAAGCCAAATGAGGAACCGCAAGATCAAAGCATCCATGATTTTGATGATGTTCATGATCAGCCTAAAACATGGAACGACTCCCGCGAGATATCCCACTCGGAACAGAGGGAGTCCGGAATTTTATAAATAGTTCACAGACATATTATTAGCCTAAATAAGCTTGAGGTACAATTTGTTGAATTAATTGTTAATTACACAAGGAGCCCATTATCAATCCGTCGTATATTATCAATCCTATGAATCTAATACAGTTTTACAAGTTGAACACATGGGTTTTATGGTTGGGAAGAGTTCTGCTATACCCAGTTCGAAGTTGCACTTGTCAGTGGCTTGGAATGCAGCCATCGTATCAAGACGTTAAAATCTGTGATTTGGCGTTGTAAACAGAGCGAGGACAATGTCTAAATTATTCATATTTTGTAATTACTCAATTCTTTTCAATGATCTATTGTATTGGTAGCCGTTGCCGTCGCGTTGCCGTTCTAAAATCGTAAGGTCTCTATTATCAACCATTATACGCGGTGGTTCGAGCATTATACGCGCGGTGCTTTCACCATAATACGCGGTGCTTTCAACATTATTTCCATATTCTTTCCTCTTTCCATGTATATGATTTCACGATTGCTTAAATTTGGTATGTGGATGTGCTTTTTGCCTCTGGTCTGCAAATGACAATGACATGCTTTAAAAAGGTTTATTTATAAAAAGCTGACTGCACTTTGTGAGTTCTATATTATCATATAGTGTTGATTTATTGGTAATAAATCTGTGAATATAAATGTATAACGCAACGAATGCGCCAAGCAGTATAAACGCGGCTGAAATACGACATAACTAGAAGTTACTATCGCAAAGGATGTGCTGCCTTACGACCCAAAGTCCTGGGGATTGATTATACCAAAAAACTTCATTTATTTATATTGCCTTATAGATACACTGTATGTATTAATTTATTTTGTTTAATAATGCAATAATTACTATATACTGTAAAGTGTACTTCGGATTTTCATATTTACACATGTGATTGTTGGTACCAATGTTCAAAACGTCTAGAAGAACACAATTAGGAAGAACAAACATATGTCTTTTAACGTGATATGATTAGTTTGTTGCAAGTTTTCATATTCTTTTCAAGTAATAATAATCTACTGTATTTTCCACTTGGTAAACAAGTGCCATTAATTGGGTTTTTTTTGTCCAATATGCAGATGTTTCCGGTATTTATTTAGCATGTACAGTACATACATACATACATACATACATACATACACACATACGTACATACAAACCCAGATGATTACATAACCTCCTGGCGGAGGTAACAATTTCAATACGTAACAAATCATTGTTAACCACCCCTCCCTAAATAGCAATTTATTTCAGCACCCAAAATCTGGGAGCCACGTGACCAGCCGGCACCAGGGTATTTCCGCAGCAGGGGGTGAGCGAAGGTAATACCCTGGGTACGAGTTTGTAAAAATGGGTTGTAACCATATGGTTGTAACATATCAGCCATATTTAATAAAAATAAATGAAACTATATTATAAAGTCGACGTATTTTCTACAACCAAAACTTTAAATACCCCTGGCTAAAATAAAGCATTAAGCATCATATTTAAATATAATCATATCTCACCAATAAGACAATAATATCCCACCAATAATATTTACAGTACTCAGGTTCTCGAGAATGTGAACTCACTGAACTGTGAAATATTATTTACCCGTCAGGCTGTCAGCTCGTCTCAACAGACTTCAAATATCGTCTTTGCCGATATTTCTCTATGTTTATTGTCTTTAGCGAACAAGGATAACTTGTACAAACTGCACATCTTTGAAAAAAATAGTCGAAGTCCAAATATTATGTCAAAAATCCAAATCTACGACTGCAAAAACAAAATATTTTTTCAAAAACCAGGAGGAGTGGAAATTGTAGCGCAGTAGCCGGCTCAAAATTGAGCCTTGTTCAGTGGTAATTGCATGAGCAAAAGAAACCAGATGGCGTCATTCTGGCGTCAGCAAAGGCTGAAATCCTCCATGTTTTTGGCGACATTTTTTATGCCGAGCACGTCCTCCAATAATATTATAGCTCAGTGGTGCTGCCTCGCTGCGCTCGGCAGCAAAAATCTTGCATGCTGTGCCGTGTGATCAACATAATTAATTATGTTTTAGGATAAAAATTCTTTGTCATTTGAATTTATACTTGTGCTGCATCACAAGGCATGCAGTGCGTATAAGTGAACAGATTTCACATGTGAGGTTGTCTTGTATATATTTTTGCCTTCTTTGATAAAAATTATTATTAAACACACAAATTTAGTGAGACGCACAGTCGCACATGTTAAATGTCACCTGCATGCCTGTTATTGTGGTACGTTTTTGAAAATGTTGATGTACAAATTATGGATGATTCCAATTCATTAAAATATTTCTTATCCTTGTTCTTTAAAATATGAAAGATTTAGGAACACTGCTATACCAAGGCATGCTATACCAAGGCAGCATTCACTACCATGTGGGTACACTACTTAATAATGTATTCTCAACTATACTGAGTTTATGAACATAAGGCACTTGACCGATTGTTTAAATTAAAACTGCGATAGTTGGTTATGTCAAAATCAAGTGTAATGAAACAGTGGTTAAAGCATGAGGATCAAGTTCATCCATACGCACATTGAGATTTTGTTAAATTAAAAGACAACGCTGTAACAGGAATGTTTATACGTGTCATCTGCTCCGAACGACCGAAGTAATAAAATTGATTGTAAGGAAATTCCTAACGCGTTGTAATTAATTTTAAGACTTATAGAGAGTTAATTTTTTAAACGTATCAAGCAATACTCACCCAAAGTCGAACTGTTGTCACATTTCAATCTATTTGAAATCACAGAAGAGCTTCTGTTATACAACTTAAATTACAACCTTGGTATCCGGCCATGCATTGAGAACATTCCAGAGAGAGAGCGAGAGAGAGAGAGTGGACAAGAATTTTAATAATTAAGTTCATGAACAATATATAATAGCAAGACGCAATAATCCCCAGCTGTGTGAGAGCAGCAATGTTAGTTTCGGTTTATAACAGCCCAACGGCAGAATATTTATAAATATCATTAGATATATAATGGTTGTTAAGTAATTATACATGCATGATCAACGTAACTAGGCGAGGCAGCTCATTATAATTCATTTGGCTCGCTAGCTGAACTTATAAAGTGTGTATATATAAAAAAAAGGTAATCGAACTTCAGCGCGCTATTGTATCTGAATTACTCTGCGTATAAACGAGAATTTTCATATTCGGAAAGATCAGACTTTTAGCTGTTGAATGATATGTTCTTCGTGCCAAAAAGATAAACAATGAGCAAATACGAATCCGATAAACTGAAATGTTAGTCACAATCGCATATTTTCACCGTGGAGAGATGGGTCTAAAACCATTGAAATTATTAACCCTCTTTGATGAATTTCACTTCAATAAACTACGCATATATTCATAAGTAGGAATAAACCTTAGCTAGTCTATGACAAGTGGGTGATTAATTGCTTTTTCTTTTGAGTTTTGTTATGCACTGCTTTATTCCTTTAATTATATGGGCACAGAGGTGATTTTTTACACATTTTTTATCGGACTAGTACTTGCTTATTTTTTCTCCACTTGGCATGAAAAACATGTCATTCAATAGCTAAAAGCCTGATCTTTCGAATATGAAAAAAATTTGTTCATACGCCGAGAAATTCAATGGCAATAGCGCGCTGATTTTTTATACACACTGTATAAGGCTTTTTATACACACTGTATAAGGCTTTGTACACTTTTATACTAAATATATATTTTTTGTACTAAAAATGCATGCATGCAACAACACCTCGCCCACATTT